CTCTAGAATTGAAAGAAATATTTAAATTTAAAGGATTTTATTTTTTTGTTGCATTATTTATGATTGTCACTGTATATCATTAATAAACTTTTAAAAGATCTTGTTTAAAAGCATATCAAAGATTTTAAATATTTTATCTAATTAAAATCTATTTCTAAAAATCAGATTAAATTAAATCTTATTTGAAATATATATTAGAGGTTTATGATAAATTATTAATTTGAAAATAATGTAATCAATCTATAGAATAGAAATTATTGTATTTTAAAGTTAATCAGAATATAATATTCTAATATTATCAGTTAAATATATTATAAACAAAAAAGTTTAAACTTATCTATGAATATAAAAAAGAAACAATTATCAATATAAAAGAATTTAATATTTTATATTAACAGTTATTTGATTATAATCAAAACCTTATAGTTAATTTATATAAGATCAGACAAAAAAATTTTGTAGATTCTCATAACTTGATCGCTTCAATTTTTACAAAACTCATGATTTTTTTTATAGTAAAATTTTTTATCACATAACTTTATATAATGAAAAATCATAATAGCATATATTTTATTATAAAAAATTTAACATACTATTTTCGTGATTTTTTTGTTATTTGAAACTTAATATTTTTAGCACGTTTTTTTATCAAAAACTGTCATATATACTCACTATAATAATAATAATATCCTTCATTTACCTTACTATTTGCATAATACAAAACATAATATAAAAATATATATATAAAAATTTATATATAAAAAAAAATCGGGTAATTATATCAATTTTAAAATTTTATGTTATGGGAATCTAAAAATTTTTTTGCTTAGTCTAAGATATTAATAAAGCTCATCAGCTATGTAAAAAAGATTAAAAATATAAAAAATCTTATTTTTTAAATGTATTATAAATTTTCAAAGAATTTTCTAGAAAATTCTATTTTATTTTACTTAATCAATTGTTTTTTTTATAAAAAAAATATATTAAAATATTTTATATCCTGTAAATATAATTTTAAAGTTCTAAAAAGATATAAATAAATTTGAATAACTCTTTAAGTTGATCTAAAATATTAAGGAATATTAAGATCAGTTCATAAATTTATAGCTTAATATCAAATTGGATTTTAATTTTTTACTTAACTTGATTAACTTGCTAATCTAATTCATTATAATTTCTAGTAAATGATTGATTTATTGCAGTCAACTCTTATTATAATAAACTTTATGTTCTAGACCTCAACTTCGCTATAAGATTATAGTGAAGATTTTAAGAGATTTGATTAGTTAATTTACTATAATAAAAGTATTTTTATTATATTTGTTCAAAAAATTAATTGTATCAAGAATTCGCTATATTAAGAGTTGACTATATTATTCAAAAATAATGATTTATTATTATTCTTTTTGAATAATTTATTATTGTTCTATTTGAATAATTTATTATTATTCAACTAAAATAATATTTAAAATAGAATGATTTATCATTGTTTTAGTAAATAATTGATTCATTATCATTTAAGAATAATTTATTATTATTCTTTTTGAATAATTTGTTATTGTTATATATAAATGATTTTTATCATCTATTTGAATAATTCATTATCATATCATATTAGTGAATGATTTAAATTGTTTTTATTGAATAATCAAATAAAGTAATAAAGTTTTTTAGATTACTAATTTGTCTAAAGTGATCTAAATTAACCTAAAGATTTTCATATTAAACAGGTTAGATCAGGTAAGAATATCTGATCCAATCCAAAAAAGTATCAGATTGGTTAATCAGATAACCTGAACTGACCTGACCTATTCATGTAATTAATAATGAAAATTAGAAAATTTAAATAAAAATGAAAAATTATGATATTAGTTTTTTTTATAGAAGATAAACTTAGTATATTTTGTAAAATAAAAAATAATAACTATAATTATTAATCAACTAGTATTTCATTCTTCAATGTAAATAATAAAAAAATTTGGTTTTTAAAATATGTTAAATTTTTTTATTTGTAAATATATGTAATGTTATATTAAAAATTATTCTATGATTTCTAACATAGAATTTCTTATAATTTCATAAGATAATTATTTTATTCGGAATTTGATCACAATTAATAATCTGAGACTAACCCTAACTCATACTAATTCTAATACTAAATCCACCTTCTAAACTATCACACGATTAATTAATTCTCTAATTTGGGGATTTTTATGATAAACCTAACCTTGCGGCCCCTAACTCAAGCAATTTCTCGACGATCTTGTTCAAAAGCATCCTCCGGGTATAATGGTGTCTCAAATGAAAATCTCATAGTTATTACAACACGAAAGGGACCGAAACGTTCTTCCGCTTCATATTTATTCCCGATATCTAATTTAAAATTGCAAAGGGTTAAAGTTCGAATACGAGGGATAGGAGGAGTAGACGTAGAGGGTTAGTGAAAAAGAAAAAACTCGTCGCAATTCCGAATAAATATTTTTAATTATTTATTTAATTTTTTTTTTAAATAGACAAAAAAAAAAGGTCGCGTGTAGAAATGACGCGAAACAAATACTTTTAATTATTTATTTACGGGGTTTGCACATTATAACGAAAGCGAGTAAAAATATATAAGGAGAGTTAAAAAAAGGTGACCTATAATTGAACCACTACATTAGTGACAATGACCTCCAGCACCTCTAACATCATCCTTGTGACAAGTTTCAGAGGGTGCGGTCGGCATCATCGAGACACATGTACACTGACATTTAAGATTACATGTTATCAGTATTACAATCATCATCAAAGGCGCATTTTACTTACGTATGAGAAAATAAGATTAAAGTGACGAAATTTAGAATGCATTGATAATACATTTCGTAAGGATTATATAACAAAAAAAAAAAAGAATAAAGATTTTCAGTAAAATTGTATTACATACATGATGATTAAAAATTTTATAATTACTTGAAGTTAGAATTTTGTTAATTTTTAAACATTTAAATGTTGATGGAATAAAGGCGTAGTATGAGAAGGATAAAAATATCTCTGTTTTAAGGGCAAAGAGTTTATTTGCAAACATTATATTGACTTGGGAACGATGATCTTTATAAAACAAGGGCAATTAAAAAAAATAAATAATATTTATATATGAAAAGACTAATTTCTCCCTTTCAATACCTTATAAAGAGTAAACATTACCCCCTTGTGATCGCCAATAATAGTCTGCCTGTACTTCATGTGGAAATTCAGAACTGGTAACTGAATACTGCGCCTGCGAAACCCATCCCTGCAAATGCAATTAATACCATTTCTATTTATTACAGTTTTTAAACATCTCGTCAATTTTTTAAATTAAATAATGTATTGTTTATGTGTGCATTCTTTCTATTAATACATAAAAGTTGGTCGGTCGGAGAGCAATTTACTATATTTATAATTTCGTATATGGTTCGTTGATTCTATAACCTTTATTCTCTTTAATCGTTATTATAAATAGGACTTGTTTCATTTCAAATTCTCTCTTAGCAACTTCGAATACTAAAAAAAAAAAAAAAAAAATTAAAATGTATCAACTACGCTTTCTAATTTTTCTTTGTGTGATCTTAGTTCTTACGCATAATATTTTCGCGCAAATCCGGTGCAAAGACGACAAAGGCTGTATAATACCTGGATATAAATGTATCTCATTACCTTCAATTGAAGGATTCTGCGTTGGTAAAGCTATATGGATGGATTTAAACGGACTTAATTGTGACTCTCCAAAGGGAATTTAATGAATCCGTTCAAGTGAGTTTTTTACGTTATTATTTAGTATTTATATATATATATATATATATATTTATATTTATGTATTTTTTATTAACTTTGTATTACATTATTATTAGAAACGTTACTCTTGAATTAAATTGATGAATTGTTTATATATGTGGTGGGAATAGAGTCAGTTTCTCAGAACAATTGCATTGTAATCTACATATTGAATTTTCCGAAAGAATTGACCTTTTATTTTTAAAGCTTTCGTGATTGCATAAATTAATGTCCTTTTCATACGAGAACTTTTTTGTTTATTATGTGTAATTATCCCTCAATGGTATTGCAGGCAAATTTGCCTGCAATTTTTTTTTAATAATTTTAAATTTTATAATACATTTTATGATGTTCTAAGTAAAAAATTTAAAAAAAAATTTAATTAACTAGTAATTTTTTAAAATTTCGCCTTAATTAATAAACGTGTAATCTTGGATTTATTTACTTGGACAAAAAAAAACATACTAAGCCATTACAAAGCTAATAGAAATTATAAAGAATAAGAGTGTTGAAGTTAGATAATTTTACACAGGTGTAATACAATTAATTAACTATTCGAATCAATGGTAATTAGGTTATTTTACTGGAACTGAAGATATACAACTCGATTACGACCTGGATGTGTCAAATTCATCATAAATATATCTCTCATGCCTCAAAAATGCCCAAGAAACCAATTTAGAAAACACTTGACAATATAGATTTACATTTTAGTAGTAACTGGAGGATGCAACACAAAGAAATTCCTAATGAATCATCACTTTGCATTGTCCACTATGTAGAAACGAGGCACTAATTTATCAACAGGCAATGATTGCGTTCAGGAAAGAAATAGGTTGGGTAGTATACATATATGAGAAATCGATTAATCCACATATATTGTATGTTAATCAAAAAGCGATCTACCACTTTGAGTGCTTTTCATTTTTCATTTGTGAAGATTTATGGAATTTGGTTCATCTTTCAACTTCATCTCTGACAACCTTAGCGTGTGTTCAGTCCAACCATAACACTTGAGTTATGCTAACAGAGTGATTTTGACTCCTCGTAGAATTTTTAGACGTTTACAGTAGGCCGTTTTCTGTACGCCAGGTCTGGTAAGCTTTCGCAAACTGTAGCCACGAAGTGCTTCCGGTTCTACAATTCCTAATCTTTTACACTTTATTCCTAAAGGATTTTAACTTCAGACCTTTGTTATCACTTCTTGTCTATATCTTTTTTTAAGGATTGGTATAAACCAATTATTAAAATATGGACTCTTGTCAATAGAAATCTATTTAACAGTCACGGGAAAAAGTTTGCTTAAAATTTAAAAATCATAAATTAAAATAACTAATCCTAACCCTTAATAATTATTAAAGGTATCCAACCAATTTTATTTATTTATTCTTTTTTTGAGCTGAAAATTAACATATGAATGCCAGAAAATAAAAATGTCAAAAATTTTACAAAGTCCAAGATGTAAAAAAGTAATTTTTCTAGAAAGTTCCTTTATGGAATCGTGATCGCCACTTTTTTCATTATTTTTTTCATTATAAAATAAATCAGTCGCAAACTATTTTTAAAAATTTTTTAACTTTTTTTTCAATCATGTCCAAATTATCTTTACAAAATGCCATATTAACATACGAACAATTAGAAACTACACCTTCAAAAAAAGATAATATACCTGAAGAATTAGAAGATGAGCTTCGTAGATTAGGATGCGATTTTATTCAATCTGCTGGAATATTATTACGATTGTAAGTAAATTAAATTTCCTATCTCTTTTTGAATTTTAAAAAAGAATTAAATTAGGCGAATAATACATAAATATATGTATGTAACGTATGTATGATTTAGACCGCAGGTAGCTATGGCTACTGCACAAGTACTTTTTCAACGATTTTTTTTATGTTGCATCATTAAAAAAATTCTCTGTTAGGGTTTGTGTCAATTTCCTCCTTTATTTTATTTTCCTTTTTGATATACATAACATAACATATATACGTACACTTAAATAAATTTACTTTAATAAAAAAAGGATATAGGTATGGGAGCTTTATTCCTCGCTTCAAAAGTTTCAGAAGCACCATGCAAAATTCGCGATTTAATTAATGTTTATCATTATTTGATAAGAAGTTATTGTGGCAAGCCAATGGAACCTTTGGAATATTTAGGACAAGTAAAGTTTTTTTTACATTACCTCATATTTTAATTTTATTATTGTTTTTATGAATCTATTTAATTTATTTACTTTTTATAAAAAAAAAAAAAAAAAAGACATTTTATGAAATGAAGGATGCATTGGTAATAGCTGAAATGCAAATACTAAAAAAATTGGGATTTAATGTACATGTACAATTGCCATATGGATTAATGGTTAATTATTTAAAAGTATTAGAGTTAACTGATCATGAGACTATTCCTCAAAAAGCGTGGGGGTACCTTAATGATTCGTAAGTAAGAACTTATATCTTGATCTGAATTTTTTTATGATTTTTTTTTTTTTAACGCTTGTTTTGAATGATTTATATAGGTTAAGGACTAATGTGTACGTATGTTATCAACCTGCCACGGTTGCTTGTGCTGTTATATGGTTAGCTGCAAGAATCTCTCAAGTAAAGTTGCCAACTTCACCTCCATGGTGGGAATTATTTGAAGCTGAATTAGAAGATATCCTTTTTGAATAATTTTTACCGAATTCCTTTACTACTCTTTTTTTTTCGTTTAATATTTATTCATAACATCGATTTAATCAATATGGAAAATGGAACTTTTTTTTATTTGTTTTTTTTTTTTTGTGAATACATATGGAAAATATAGCAAGACATATCATGAGATTATATGCTATAAGATTACCTTCAAATTTACCACTTTCACTTGATGAATTGGATGATTATTTAAAGAATTATGAAGATAGAAGAAAATCTGGAATTAATTATAAAGATGATGATAAAAATGATGATATTTTGATTTTGTAAAAGTCAAAACTACTACTTTCTACACTTTTTATAACATATATAATAACCATCATTACTACCAAGTGTAACAATAATTATTACCATTAAAATGTAGTTTGTTAGAAATTTACTCTCACGTTTGAGATCGTAGTTTGATGAATTAATTTAGATCATGTAGTAAAAATAAAATAAAATAAAATTATAATTTTTTTTTGTAATTAAAAGCTTCTTATTCCAAACCAAATGGATTATGTCAGGTTTAATTTTGGTTAGAAGATCCAATTTGTCAGATAATTTTGTGGGAAATGAAAATGTTTTTGTCCATCCAATTTCTTTAAAGAGCCATACAGGCTATCACTATCATCACAACAGCAACCGCTACCTGACGTTGAGTAAATGTAATAAAGTGATGCAAATGTTAAAATGTTTTAATTTGAGTCACGGTCAAACTAACGATTTTAATTTAATTTTCTCCGGAGAGTGAAGATCAAATAAATTCTTATTACGAATGAAATAAAAAATAAAAAAAATAAAAAAATAATATAATTAGTAAATTAGTTCTAATTAAAGAATTTAACAAAAGAATTAAATAAGTACTCCGGTATCTTTATTTAGGTTGAGTAACGGGAGTGATCCCCCACTATACATGGCTTGTGAATTGAATAGTTTGTTTTGACCAATTTTGATAATTTTAACCTGCTTTAAAAAAAAACCCCCCAAGATTACGATGAGATCCTCTTTAAAATGATCACAAATTTCTGTAACCTCGAGATAAGAAATTCTCTCACGCATACCTTTGCACGTATCTAATGATCGTGAGTCGCATCATCATACGATTGATATTCTAGTATCGACAGCCTATACAAAGATGTAATACATAAGGCGTGATTCCAGAAAATTCATTTGATCATTATTTGCTGGGATCGCTTACAAAGCATCAAAACATGATCTCGCCGGAATGAGAATTACGAGTCTTCAAGTTAAAGGGAAGAGTTGATTCAACTTTTCATGACAATCAAACTTTTTAACATCAAATCCAAAGAAACACAATATGAATTACTTTCGATCGAATTATTTTCATAACCGAGATTACGAATTGATCAAATAATAGTTGGTGACCTTCCAGTGAGATGGTCCACCTAAAATCAATTAACGGTTCATGTAACAACAAATTATTAAATTATGGTCTAAAAGGGATATGTACATTATGCAGGTATATGCAAATGATACCGAACACTTCAGTAATTGCCACGCCATACCTTCATTTCAGTATTTCAAATGTCTTTGTTTTCCAAAATTTTCGACTCTCCCTGTCTAAACGCCCTTGACGCTCGCACACATCTCTTGCTCTCAATTCATGTACCAACGAGATATTAAGGGTCGTTTTCACGAGGAATTTCACATTTTAAACAGGGATTTTTTCAAAGTAATTTTCTTTTAGCCTGAGCATGTATTAAAATGTCCGAATGCAAGGATTATTATGGTCACACCAAACGGAAAATCGTCATAATAAGGTAATTATGGTAAATGCATTAAATTTTCCTAAAATATATCAGTGGTCATATAATTCCGGTCAAAAAAATAAAAAAAAATAAACTAAAAAAAAAAAGAAAGGAACCTTTTTGAAAGAGATTAAAATAAAAAAAGGAAATACGATAAATTATCATTGCATGTGAAACAAAAAGGAAGGTAAACATTCTACCAATCATGAGCCAATTCATAATTCATAGCAGGCTTTCGCTCGAACAACTCGTTCGCATTCAAGGCAGGATAGCGCAGGGCAAAAGCTTTCACGTTTGATATGGAGTCAATTTCCATTTTTATAAATGTATCGACCATTGGTTTCATTTTTTTTAAAAAAAAAAAAGAACCAAGCGAGAAATACTTGATCCACAAAAAAAAAAAAAAATAAAAAAAATGAAAAGAAATGAAATAAAAAAAGGGGAAAGGGAAAGAAGGAGAAAGGTGACCAAACTTACCGTTTGATGCTAAATAATTCGAAATGAGAGAGAACAAAAATCGATTGAAAAAAAGAAAATTTTCGATAAACTGAACTGATTGATCACATCAAATAAAATTTCGCCCAAAAGTCAAAAATAAATCCCATCACGTGAATCAAACGTACCAAGGCGTTTGAACGTACAGTTTGATGAATTAGATCTAAAATTTGACTCGATGGAGCTTATACGGAGTTATTAAATATACTTAGAAGGGATGGATTTACTAGTTTTATTTCAAGTAATGGATAAAAAAAAAAAACCTGATGATAATATATGTTATATACAAGTTTATAATTTAAAATTTTTTTTTTTTTTTTTTTTTAATCTATAATAATTTTTGCAGATAAGATAGATAATTTTTTTTTTTCTTTTGGTTAAGGCCTTTTTTTAATTGTGAAGAATTTACTTGTAAAGAAAATTCTGAAGAACTTTAAATTTACAATATATGCATATATTTATTTATATGTGAATATAAAGTTGAAATGATTGTGATGTAAGAATGAAAAGATCACATAAACGAATACATTGAAATCAATTGCATTATCACACATTAAGAAAGCATAAATAAATTTTCAAGCGAATATGTGAAATATATAAAAAACGGATTGTGACAAAAAAAATAAGGGGACGAAATACATTGTGCAAGTTAAACGGAGGATTAATCAATATTTTTTGAATCCCTTGAATAAAAAAGTTAGTTTGTAAATTAAGAATTGCCCCTTTAAAAAATAGTTAAATGGTGACCGCAGCATGTGCATCTAAGAAATATTAATATTTTCTTCAAATATTTTGCAAGGTAAAGGGAATCTCATCGAAAACGAAAGGGAGAGATTTTTTCCAAGAGAGGTCCGAGGGTCAGGATGAACCTCCAACGAGCAGGTGCAGGGAAATAATCCAAGAGAGGGAGATAAGATTCGGATAGGCACGCCTAGGAAATAAATTAGTTAAAATAACTCGTATGACGTAACATCTCAGATTACGAGCGAACGCGAAAAGAAGGATGCTGCGGATTTTATTATCGGTCACAATACGCAATAGGGAACAAATAAACCCGTCCCAACCATGACATGAGAATGTTGTGACCTTCTCGAACATTCCATCAACAATGAGGGACGGAGATGAGTTAACACGTTTTGGGAAGGGGTTTTTTTTTTTACTTTAAACATCGCGTAATATAATTATTTACTGTAAATAGAAATGGTTAAATTTGGGAAATAAATAATCCGAAATGAGGGGATACAAACTCAGTTTCTTAATTTAAAAAAAAAAAAATCTTGTTTGGAACCGGTGTAATAGGTTTTTTTATTTGCGCCTCCTGGAATCCTTGCACATGTAATTGGCAATGTTGAACCCATCGGCATTTATTCAACATTACACACATATATTTATTTAAGATCACAACCTAGATCATTATGATCAAACAGTGTAAAAAGTTTATATTAATTTAAAGTTTCAAACAATTTGTTTGGTAATAAATTCAAACAAATACACTAAAAATCGAAAAAAAAAAAAAGTTATCACATTTAAAGTAGAAAATTTTTTTTTTTTTTAGTGTGATAGCTTGCGAAGTTCTTTAGTCCATATTTAGTTGTTTAAAATTACATGACAAATAAGTTTATCGTGTTTTAGGTTAATTATATAGTCTTAGTTTGTTTTGTATCTCGGAATATTTTATGCCAAACGCGCTCTTTGTCTCACATTTATTCCCAAGAATGTATCAACCTGAAACACCAATTATTTCGCCTTCCGTCCTTTGTTGTTTATTATGTATGTTGAGTTTATCAATACACTTATGATCTTTTACAGCCTTTCGCATTTGGGAACTATCAAAGACACGTTTTTGAACGATTCATGCAACTTTGCAAAACGTAGGCTCATAACTACTACTTTACTTTCCTGTGGTTTTACCATAAAAGTAAATTTATAATTTAACATCATCTTTATTTTTTTTAATTCTAATTTTATTTAGTACCTCTATTTTATTATTTATTACAAAGAAAAAATTTTTTTTTACATAATAAAATATTATTTTTTAATTTATTCGTATAACATCTACAACCCCTGATCTTTAATGGGTAAATAAAATATAGCTGTTTATTTTTTGCTTTAAATAATATAAATTCTCCTCTCTCTTAAAAATATTAATAATAATAATAATAATAAATATAAAGAAAAAAAATTAGGAACATGTAAATGGGAGGGGCCTCTTCTTTTCTTTCTAAAAGGAATTAATCCCGTTAGATTATTGGAATCTATAAATGTAGATATTAAAAAAATTTCGGGGGTCACATAGGGGACCTGCAATATGTCTTATTATAATAAACAAATTTATGCATATTAAAGATGTAATAAATTTAAAGATGCATATTTATTTTTTTTATATATATTTCAATGTTTTTTAATTTTTTTTTTAATTTAATCTTAAATCATTAAAAACTTGTTTGACCTTTTTTTTATTATGTAATAAATCAAAAAGGTGTTCGTGTGATATCAGGAAGAAATCACTAAAATCTAGTCTTAACTAAATACTTTCAACATTATGTAATTTTTTAAGGGGGTGGGAAAATTGATTTTCTATTATGGTATAAATTGAAAGGGGGGCAAAAAAAAAAAAAGCTACGCCAAAAACCCTTTTTGTTTGTTTTTTATTTTCGTTACATTAATGACTTAATGAAGTACCCCGAGTATTCTTTGACCCGGAGATTTATCGGTCAATTCCATTTAGTACGAATACTTCAATTATAAACAGATTTTTTTTGTTTATGTGTTATTCAAAACGTGAGTCGGCAATTTACCTATGGGAACTAATAATCGACATCATCATCTTGCCAGAAAAATAAAAGAAAAAAAAAGAGATGTAGATTTGAGATGAACACTCTTTCCTGCCTGTACAATAACTTTAAATTTCTGTGAAAAAGATCCAAATGAAAATGAGAAGAAGGAAATAAACTTTAAATTCTCTCCATAATTAGAATTTCATGTAACCAAATCAAAATGTCATTTAATATCAAAAAAAGCTCTTTATTGATATTACCATCTTTATTAGAAATGAGGTACCGGATATACGACGGGCATCCCAATGAAATTATGTAAACTTGTCAAACAAAAGCTTAAATCATGAAGATCATTATGCCGTGCCCTAAATTGCGTAACAAAGCATTATATTATTTTTTCATATTATCATTCAGGATTAATCGATAATGTTCTCGATAGGTATACAACAATATCATACGCGCATACAATAATGATGTTAGATTCAGATCAAAAAAAAAAAATGTATCGTCAAACAATAAATGAAACACAATCGTTTGGTAATATTTTTTGCACGACTGATTGAAAAAAAAAAAAATGATCTTGATTTCACATCCAGAGAAGATATCATATGTCAGTCATTACATTATACTCGTGCCAATGTTTATTTTGTATCTTTATTATGATTTTTTTTTTTCATTACAATAGGTGCGATAATGATTATAGTCATATTGTCATTGAATTGCATTACACTTCTTCCGTGAGGAGTGTTTCTTCCCTTAAATCAAGTAATTTGGATAAATTGAAAATTATCCAACAAAAAAAAACCCGCTCGGTAACACTTCGGTAACTCCACAATGGATATCCAACATACAATATGAAGATGGTGACATCCAAAGAAAACAGCATGGGAAAAAAAAAATAAAAAGGAGGACAAATTTGGTAACATCATGTATTGAAAAAACCATTAGCCGTCAGGTACCCCAAATTTTTTTTCTTGCAAGAACTAAAAGAGTTTGGATTGTGCGTGAGTGAAAAAAAAAGAAAGTAAAGACTTCGATTGCCAAAACTGTGATGAAAGGTGCATAACGTATACATGTCTAACAAAAAGAGGAAATGACGTCGTTATCTTTTGAAAATAAAAAAAGATTCAACCGTAATCTTGTAGTAAACGCGTAAAAAAAAAAAAAAAAAAAAAAAAGAATAAGTGTTTGTGATGGTGTAACAAAAATTTGGAACGTACCTTTATATTAGACATTGTTCGTTAAAGACACAATTATTATCGCTACCTTCTCGATTACATTGTTTGGTTCGTGATTACCAATATTGCATGTATCTTTTTTTGAAAATAAAATAATTTGCAAACATCGAGTCAACAATAATGTACGTTTAATAAATAGTAACAACGATGCTTAATTTGATTGCATTCCCCGAATGTATTTTATTACATAATATCTAATCCAAGGATGTTTATTCTCTTTCCTATGTTTATTAGTTTAGGATATCATACTACAAATAAAAAATATATATTTAAGTTAAACTAAGTAAATAAATAGAAAATAAGTTTGATTGGTCATGATTAATTAATTAATCGCGCTAAGTCCCGACAAGCCTTTATTATGATTTGCTGGAAATCTAATTAGCCTGATTTATATATTGATGGTTTCAATTTGGTTATTTAAAAAATGGCACCGCATGTCCCAATACAGAATTTTTAAATTAAAACATCTTATGATCAATGCAAAGATGTGATAAATCGGTCCTGTTATTGCCGTCTATACTAATGTATTTCGATCGGAATTGTATGTGTCTGGATATTATCAAGGTTTATCTATTTACATAATTACCTTCCGATTAAGTAATAGTCAAAACGCGTAGTTAATTTTAAACGCGTATACAAAGCTAACCATACGGCATATAATAACGGGAAAGCTATAATAATTCGGCAAGTGTACTCCGTTAAATATGCTTAAAATTAATCTGTCCGTGATTATTTAAGGATCAGTTGATCGATTCGGATTTATAAGTCCGATAATAACGCGTACTCTTTGATTATGACGACTAAAATTCAAGTTTATATCCATCAAAGTTAAGGTTTGTTTTTAATTAAATCAGAAAAAGAAATTCTCAAATGATTGAGGAAACTTGCTGTCTACCACTTTTGAATAATATGAAAAAAAGATTGGCTTTAATGTTTACTCCCCGTTGGGATCGGGTAACTCATAAAGGTGACAAAAGCTTGAAAGGAAAAAAAAAAATGAGCGCTGGCCCTTTTTTTTATAAAAGCAAAAAAAATAAAAATAAAATAAAATAAATACATAAATGATTTATTATATTAATGTATATGTAAGTAATGTCCGTCGGTACATTATAATTTATTTTTTTTTTAATTTAGGTAAGGTGATCCTTTAAACGACAATTTGATTGATTAAATATCAGCCGAAACTTTAAGTTAGAATTTCCTTTTCGATATCACAAAGTGCCTAGAAATGCAATAAGTGTTCTACCGCAAAGAAGCGTCGTTGGAATTTTCGATCCATTTCATTTAGTATTTGAAGGTTGATGAGAAATCTTTTTTTTTTCTTTTATTTAAAAAAAAAAAAAAAAAAAAGAAAAGAGAATTTAGAAAGTAGAACAAAAAAAAAAAAATCGATAATTTTTAGGTAATCGCTTAAATAGGAATTATATAAAAGAGTTCTAAGTTAAGGTAATTAAATGTACAACTGATCACCAAACCCCAGTGTAGTAAATTAATATTTTATGGAAAATTTTTGAAACAAATTATTTATAAGTTACATATATATTTATACATTTTTTACATTTATATATTTTAAGTTTATTTGATTAGTTTAAATTAAGAGATTTTTTTTTTTTTAAAAAAAAAAAAATTCAAAATAAAAAATTTAAAAAAAAAAAAACGACCATTAACTAAATTAAATAGTGATTACGCTAAGTTTGGTTAAGAGTTGTTCGCTAAATGCCGAATTTTGATTTTGACATTACATGATGAATAAATATATATAAATGATTTTTTTTTCAATCGGTAGGTTACAATAATAAAATATGCGCGAGAAATTTGATTACAAAATGAAAATGGGTCATAAACTTAAATGGATAGAAATATACGCGAATATTACGTAATATACGTATTATTCAGAAGTGATACCGACGCAGGTGTTAATATCAACACCAACCGATGACCATTCTATATGCCCATTTGAACCCCAAATAATTTCATATTGTACACTTTATCTGGTTAACAAAGTTTTTTGGTCGGTGAATGATTAATCATCTATTTTTATCTTGAATAATTTTATGAATTCCGATTAAGAAGGTGAGGGTATTTCGAAGCATTTATTCCGAAAAATTTCACAAAAAAAAAATAATTGGATTGATTGTGAAAATTTCCGATTAATTCATTTTACTATTTTTACTAGGGTAATTTAAATGACATTACTTTATAACAATGGGAAAATTCATAATTCATTTCTTTACCTAAGAAACAATTGGATTTAATACATACAATGCGTACGATCCTATTATTCGTAATTATTGTCCTCGAAATAACCCATTTGAAAGGTCACTCGAACAGGATTTTACTGGTTAACTGTTAATGAATTCATTATACTTTCATATAATGAAAGAACAACAATATGATCTTCTTAATTTATACTTGTAATGGTTGATGCCCTGATTAGTAGATAAGATATTAATCCCCAGCCGTTAAAACAACCGAGTATTTTAAGCGGGGCAGCCACCTTTCCTAATGTATATTTTAGATCTCTAAAACTGGGGTTTATTACCCTGATTATTTACTTATTAATATAAGTAATACAAAATATATGAAAAGAGGGTTTGGTTTTTCCTGTGATAAAAGTGCCGAGCTTGTTGTGATAACTAATCTTTTATCTATTCAGTAAAAATATGTATGCAACTAAAAAAGTTGAAAAGAATAGATTACGTGCCATATTAGGGATTCAAAGATGGGTTGATAAATTTAAAAAATTTTTACAATAACACCATATTTTAGTTATTGAAAAAATTGCATAAAAACCAGCGCCATTGTTATTCTTGGCAATTTCAGCTCATGCGCGACCCCTATAATCTCTAAAGGTTGATTATTATCATTACACTCATTAAAAAAAAAATAAAGTAAAATAACAAAAATTTCGTCTCTCTTCCTTTCACTTTTCGTTGGAAAATATGCCACCAATTAGAGAGCATCAAACTTCACCTTCTTCACAGCACCAGCCAAATGCTCATTCTTCAGGCGAAGAAGATCATTCGTCAACAAAGAGTGATAAGTCAAATTCATTGTTATTAGCTGATAAAGACCGTAATAGACGTGGTAAAAGAAGTCCAAGCATAAACACTAGAGCTTCGAGAGTAGGCGTGACGAATTTTATAAATGTGATAAAAAGTTTACATCCTGGTGAATCAATAAATTACTTTCCTATAACAAAGGAAACTTTACAGGAATATATTGATTCGAAAAGAAAGGCCCTCATAAAAGCCGGTTCTCTTGAACAATATTTACAGCATATTCAAGCGTATAACATTGCCCTTGGCTTTGGTTGGGACGGACACGTATTTGGTCCAATCATCAAAAAAGCTTTGGACGAATTAAGAAATTACGAAGACGAGATTTCCTTAAAGACCGGAAATGTCTTGATCGTCTCTTCAAGCCAACCTCAACAACCTACTTTAATAAATTCTGCAATTTCACAACAATCAAATCCCTTTTCGAATTCTTTAGAATCTAATTTTAATTCATCACCTGATGCTGATGTTAGATTGGAAAACTTATTTACAATCGATGAAGATGATACTATGAACGATGACCTTCTCGATGAAGTTTTGTCTATTGAAGGTAATAAAAATTTATAATTCTATATTTTTTTTTTTTTTTTTTTTTTTGCGACGACGTACAAACCTCCCAATCGACCGATATTCGTCTAATATTAGAACAAGAAAAGAATTCAAAGAAGGTGATACATGTGGTCTGCTTTGATGCTTCGACCATTCCTTTCGTTGTACTGGATCAACGCGCTAAAATTTTTCTGGACAACCTAAACTCTCCTGATCCGACGCAGAATCTTCGTCAACTGTATGCTAATGTGTCTTCTGCGAACTTTCCTAAATCGTGGGGTGATGTCGATTTAAAGCTCCATTATAGAGTGGAATCTCGCGAAGATGCTCATCACTTTAGTTTAAGTGGTGAACCTTCTTTTGTTCAATTTTGGTCAAAGTTTAACGAATTTGGAAATGATGTTCAACTAATCGTATATCGAAAATTTTCAATAGGTATTTATTTCATTTTTATTTTTTAACAAACAATAAAGTATTGAATAGATTGTCAAAGAGAAGAAATGGAGCCATTTTCCTATTTCCCCCATACAAAAAACCTCATACATACCAAAAAACCACACCACTTTCCCATTTTGTATTAGAAAGGAATGCCTTTTATTCACATAATCGGTTTCATTACGTATTTTGTTTAATTATAGTTAACACTTCCCAAAGACGTTTCCATGCTAGTCCCGAACCAATACTTCCAAGTCGCCCATCCTCTCCACATCCAATTCAAAGCTCTCTTGGTATGTATAAAGAACATAAAAGCTTTGATTACGTCATAAAATCATGAATTTGATTAGTGCATTATAAAAGTTGCATTTCAATTATTAATATTTATTGCTATTCGTTTAGATTCTCAAACATTAAAATCCGTTACAGTTCGTTCCAAGGCTAGGATATACAAACAAAAGATCGCAGTTTCAGATACTACAACGTTTACTTCGCTTATCTCGTTCGCAATTAAAGTACCTCCTCCGGTTGGTAAACAGTTTGTGATTAGAGCTGCGGATGGGGTACTTGAGTATATGCCTGGTGATTTTGTCCGAGAAGTAATTACTGGGATTGAGCATACCGAAATTCTTATATGTCTTGAGGATGCCGGTCCTGTGAATTTCGATTACTTTTAAAAGAATCGATATTTATATAATTATATTTTTAGTGTAAACAATTTTTTATCATAAACGCACAAAAACATTTTTATTTTTTATTTATTTTTCTCCTCTGTGAAATAATTAATTTTATAATCACGAACAAATTTCTTACATCGCTTTATGTTTATTTTGTAAAATAGGACTTCTTTTTTTCATTATTGTAATTTCTTTTTGTATAGATTAAGGCACAATGAATCCTTTTCATTAGCTATCGCTTATCTATAAATTTATTTTTATTTCGTTTAGTATACCCTGAAACTTGTTAATACTTACTCTTTTTGTGCGTAAATGTACATAATTATTATAATTATTCAACCTTTTTTTGCGTTTTTCTTCCATTTATACAATTCCCTTTCTTTGTACTAGATTATTTTCCGACAAAATTCTTTTTGTTTGAATTCTTAAGTATTTTTTTTTATTCACTAAATTTTCGTATTTTGGTTTTAATGTACATTTTTTTTTTTAAAAAAAAAATATATATATAAATTTATATATTTGTTTATTGTAATTATTTTTTTTTATCAAAATTTTACATTCTTTTTTTTTTGAGTTCAAACAACTAATATAATATATACTTTAAAATATTTTTCATTCATTTAATCTTTATTTTTGTTTTCACTTCACTTTTTTGTTTTTTGTTTTTTTGTTTAATTTCCTTTTTTCTTAACTTTTATATGATTGGTCCTTTATTTCTAAAAAACTTTTTTAAGAAAATATTTCATTCGTAATTCATTGATGAGATTTAAGATTCAACATTTAAACAATGTTTTCTTATGTAAATTATATTTGTGTGATTATTTAATAAAACTTCTTCATTTTGTAATATGAATGTTGTTTCATGTATTCTTTGTTGAATTATTTGGGGAAAAGGTAAGATGAGAATTTAAGAAGTATGAGAAGCGCAAGAAGAAAGCCGAATATATTTACTTGAGAATTTAAAAATAAAAAGAAATTTTTTTTTTTTTTTTTTGTTTGCATGAAAACGTTTGAGGTTTTTTTTTGGAACCCGATTTCGGCTTCTTTGATAATCAATAAATTAATTTTTGGATTCATAAAAACCGAGATATACTGAATGAAATCACAACATTTGAAATGAACCATTTTGGAACATTTTATCCATGTACCTTTTTTTTTTTAAAAAAAAAAAAAAGTTTCGGCGAAACTTTTAATTGATAAAGATAAAAAAAGTTGATCCCGATTATTAAAAAATAGTAACCTTCCTTTAATAAGCCGTCTATTTTGTTGAATGATTCAAAAAAAAATTTGATTCTTTCAAACAATTCGAACATTCCTTTAATTCTACTTAAAAAGGTTTTATAAATATTTATTTTTAATTTTTATTTGCGGTAAAACATCAGTCGATAAATTTATAATTATTTACTCGACGTAAATTTATATTACAGGTTCGTTTCTTGTTTCTTGTTTCATCAAAATATAAACAAAATCATTATCCAAGAAATCTAAAAAAAAAAAAAAATTTGATAATTAAATAAAAGTTAACCGAATTTATTGATTGGTCTTGGAAGTGTAATTGAAATATCACCCTTGCGTTTGAAAATAATAAATCTTGGATCCTTTTTTTTTTTTTTTTCGTTTTAGATTGTCTTTACTTAATCATTGTTAAACATGAATTAATAATATATTACATATTATCCTTCTAATTATTTGTCAATAATGTTCTAATTTGTTCTTATTTTATAAAACAATTTTTTTAAAAAATCTATTGTTTTTTTTTTTTTTTTGAAATTGACCTGTCTAATTAACGATCGATCCGATACGTTGTATAAAACCCAATTTTGGTTAAAATATTTTTTTTTTTGTTTAATTTTTCTATAATGAACTTTTTTGTAACCCGTATGTTCTTCGGTTTATGCAATTAGATTTAATATTCTTTTTATATTTTTTTTTTTGCGTCCTTGAAATTTATTTTATAAGGATACTTTTAGGATTAGGTTAGGTATAAAACATTAGATTTTGGTCTGGAATTTATCTACAAAAACAATCTGTTTTACAACATACAATGAAGAAATTTTTCCAATCCTAAATTAATTATGACATTCTTTTCCAAAGGTATTATAAACTAAATTAAGTGTGAATTAAAGAATTTAATATACCATAAATATAAAAAAAAAAAATGTTTCGAACTGCGTATGTTATTTATTACACTTTCAATCTATTTTTATTAATTACTCAATCGCTTAAATCCGAATTACGTTTTATCAATCTTTTTGTATTAACCTTCACTTGGATTATAATAAAGGTCTAAAAAAGTAATTCTTAACGTTAAGTCCGTTTGGTGTAAGAAACATATATGTACAAGACAATATATGTCCTCGGTTTGGGAACAGATTTTTCAATTAAAAAGGGCAACAAAAAAGATTAAAAAAAAATCCTTAATAGAAATTAATAAAGATTTGGAAAGTTCGTTAATTTACTCTGCATATTGAAAACAATGCTTTGTTAAAAAATAATATAATGAAGAGGACAAAGATATTTCTTAAATGAGACAGATGTAAATATTAATTAATTATGTTTTTAATCTAAATCATATTGTTTATTATGCTGACAATTGTTATTATGAAATTTCACAAATTCACAAATAGAGAGAATGACTAAAATATAATTATTATATAAACATGATAAAATGCTAGGGTCCGATATAATATTGATAAGCAAGAATAATTTGATTCCTAGAGATTTCAGCTTCTTGAAAGGCGTGAATGACACTCAATTATGGAAATGATTCCAGTCATGAGATATAGTAAATCATATAATCCTAAATATAAGTTTATTAGCAACGATCCCATATACTCAAGTTGCTAAGATATATGACCTAAATGTTATTTATTTATTTCTAAATATTAACCATAACATAACTTTATTAAATATATTTATATATAAAATCAAATTCTTTTAATAATGGTACTCATTTATAACTTATGGATTTGTTAATTTTAATGTTCACTTTATCATACCAGAATGTGATGAATATAAACCATAATAGGATTAATATAGGACTACCTCTATATAAAAATAATATATATGAAATTAATTTACATTAAATCCACTATGGAACCCAAGAATTACAGTACTATTAGAAGCATTCTAAAAAAAGAACAAGGAAAAAAAATTGCTCCCTATGTTTTTAAAATAAATAACACTCAAACACTCCAGGAATATCTAGATCAAGAAAAAATTACTTATAAAATTTATCAAGAAGAACGAAAAATAATAAATATTAAAAAAAGAAAGCAGGATAATGATGTATCATTACAAAATAAAAGACAAAAATATCTGAAAAAAAAAATTTAATATAAACAAACTTCCTATCTATTCAACTTAATTAATAATATTTCTAAACAGTAATTAATGTTCTACTCTCACCATGATTTAAAAAAGGGTTTTTTTCATTTTTAATAGTTATTTTGCTCTTTTTTTTTTTTTTTTTTTGGTAAAACTTCTTATAGAAAGTTAGTTTAAATAAAAAAATCATGACCAAAAAAGAATGTTTTAATTGCCACAATACAAAAGAAGGTTTAACTGTTAATTGATGAGATGAAGAAGAAAAAGAACATATTGAATTTTATTGTTGAGATTGTTCTCAAAACTTAATTCAAAAAGAATTAGATGAAAAAACTGCTGATTAAGAAAGAAATAAAAAAAAGATTTTTAAAGAAACCTTAAGAAAGGTTAAAAATCAAGAAAATTATGATTGGCCTTTCAGAGTAAGAACTTTTAATCAAAAAGGTAGCGGAAGATGAGATCAGATTACTATATATTATTCACAGTGCAAAATCATGTTAGATTAAGATGTAACTGCTTATGAAGACAGTAGAAAACATAAATGTTCCTAATGTCATAATTACCATAAAAATATTGAAAGGGATAAATAAAACAATCATTTCACTTAAAAAGATGATAACACTCCTAGTTATAATTGCCCCAAAAGTGCTGAAGAAAGTAAACTAGTTTGCCATATATATGATAAAATAGAAGTACAGTAGGTATCAAAAGTCACCAGGCATTTGCGATATCGATCATTTTTTGAAAAATTATATCAAATTTTTAAATTGAGATAACTTACGAACTATCACATCAATTTGAATGAAATTTTTTTTATATTAATCATATAAATATATATTTTATAATTTTATTGTTAATATTTTGTAGAATTGCTTTTATTTTCAATAACAGCAGCAATACAACGTGGCATACTATCAACAAAATTTTTATAAATACTTTCATCAAGTTTTAACTATTCATTCTGCAAAATCTGCTATAAATCATCTTGATTTTTTAGTAGTAGTTTATGTTTTCTGACTTTTCTATCCAATTTATCCTATAAATTTTCTATGGGATTTAAATCTGGACTCTGTGCAGGCTATGTTAAGCTTATAATCTTATTTTCTACTTCCCATTTTTTTACTGCATTTGCTTTGTAAATTGGAATATTATCTTCTTGAAAAATATAATTATTTTTATTTTCTAAACTATTTATAAATGGTAATAAATAGTTATTTAATACATCTATATATATATTTGCTATTATTCTGCCTTCTAATCTGACTAATAGACCTAATTTATTCTTTGTAAAACAACTCCAAATCATAACACTCTGTTGACCTGATTTAAATGTAGAAAATAAGACATTTTGGATCATATTTTTCTTGAGCATTTCTCTAAACATATCTTTTTCCATCTCCTTTAAATACTTCAAACTGAGATTCATCACTCCAAATAATATTTTTCCATTCATTTTTCCAATCTTTTCTATTTTTAACCTATGTTAATCTTTTTATTTTATTAGCTGCATTTACAAAAGGTTTTTTTGCTCCAATTCTTCCAAAAACTCCATTT